ATCAACTCAACTCGCCGTGTTTGGAGGAGGAGGAATGCTGCCTATGACCCCAAGAACACCATCCCCACTGTCAAACATGGAGGTGGAAACCTAATGCTTTGGGGGTGTTTTTCTGCTAAGGGGACAGGACAACTTCACCGCATCAAAGGGACGATGGACGGGGCCATGTACCATAAAATCTTAGGTGAGAACCTCCTTCCCTCAGCCAGGGCATTGAAAATGGGTTGTGGATGGGTATTCCAGCATGACAATGACCCAAACACACAGCCAAGGCAACAAAGGAGTGGCTCAAGAAGAAGCACATTAATGTCCTGGAGTGGCCTAGCCAGTCTCCAGACCTTAATCCCATAGAAAATCTGTGGAGGGAGCTGAAGGTTCGAGTTGCCAAACGTCAGCCTCGAAACCTTAATGACTTGGAGAAGATCTGCAAAGAGGAGTGGAACAAAATCCCTCCTGAGATGTATGCAAACCTGGTGGCCAACTACAAGAAACGTCTGACCTCTGTGATTGCCAACAAGGGTTTTGCCACCAAGTCATGTTTTGCAGAGGGGTCAAATACTTATTTCCCTCATTAAAATGCAAATCAATTGATAACATTTTTGACATGCGTTTTCTGGATTTTTTGTTGTTATTCTGTCTCTCACTGTTCAAATAAACCTACCATTAAAATTATAGACTGATCATGTCTTTGTCAGTGGGCAAACATACAAAATCAGCAGGGGATCAAATACTTATTTCCCTCACTGTATATACTTTTTTTGCTTAACAGGCTCTGCCTGAACATTCCCTTAATGTCAACGAACTTATCTAGAACTTGGTTGCCATGTTCTCAGAATATAAAATATTACTGTTCTAGACACGTTCCATGGGAACGTTGCATTAACATTTCTGTGTATCAGTTGTCACGACGTCCCAAAGAAACGTTCTACAGACAAAAAACAAATCATTACACGCCCTGTTACTGTTGCTATGCCCATCAAGGCCCTGATTGGTGAACCACTGATCCTTGTCTGTTGGCAAGGTTACGGATACTCACACACAGTGCTTTTAACACAGTGTTTTCAACTGACATACCTTTGACAAACATGATGTTCATTTCTACAGTAATTATTATAGAGCATGTCCTCACCTGGGATTTGAACTCACAACCGTTTGGTTCAAGGCATTCACAACTTCCTGCTACGCCACCATGTCTGGCAGGTATCAGTTAATCGGACTATTCTCTCATCATTGATTTTATTAACTTATTTCAGCAATTTACGTGCTTTCTGTGCAGTTGTCTAATGTTTGTGGAAACGTTAGTTAATGATCTAATGAGACTCTTAAGGGAACGTTCTCTAAAGTTGTGGGAACGTTTGTTGTTAGCTGGGTATGTGAAACAGATAAGCAAAAACTTGGGATTTTGTTTAATATGCGAAAATGTAGAGTTAGTAAGTAGCGTAGTCAAGAATGCAATGATCATATTAGGGTCAGGGTTAGGGGTAGGGTTAGGTTAGGTTAGGTTAGGGTTAGGGCAATATTAGCACTCTACATTTGAGACAGACCAAGCGAAGGGGAACAGAAGTAGGTTTAAATATATCCCTCTGGTGGAGGGTTAGGGTTAGGGTTAGGGTTAGGGTTAGGTTTAAATATATCCCTCTGGTGGAGGGTTAGGGTTAGGGTTAGGGTTAGGGGTAGGGTTAGGGGTAGGGTTAGGGTTAGGGTTAGGGTTAGGTTTAAATATATCCCTCTGGTGGAGGGTTAGGGTTAGGGTTAGGGGTAGGGTTAGGGTTAGGGGTAGGGTTAGGTTTAAATATATCCCTCTGGTGGAGGGTTAGGGTTAGGGGTAGGGTTAGGGTTAGGGGTAGGGTTAGGTTTAAATATATCCCTCTGGTGGAGGGTTAGGGTTAGGGTTAGGGTTAGGGGTAGGGTTAGGGTTAGGGTTAGGGTTAGGTTTAAATATATCCCTCTGGTGGAGGGTTAGGGTTAGGGTTAGGGGTAGGGTTAGGGTTAGGGGTAGGGTTAGGTTTAAATATATCCCTCTGGTGGAGGGTTAGGGTTAGGGGTAGGGTTAGGGTTAGGGGTAGGGTTAGGTTTAAATATATCCCTCTGGTGGAGGGTTAGGGTTAGGGTTAGGGTTAGGGGTAGGGTTAGGGTTAGGTTTAAATATATCCCTCTGGTGGAGGGTTAGGGTTAGGGTTAGGGTTAGGGGTAGGGTTAGGGTTAGGGTTAGGGTTAGGTTTAAATATATCCCTCTGGTGGAGGGTTAGGGTTAGGGGTAGGGTTATTATAAGTATTTTAAGAAATGATTTGATTTGTGGATAAAAAGTTTAAGATATTTGATAGGCTGATGCGGGATCTGTTCCAATATATTATTACCTGGTGAGGTTAGCATACGGCTAAATGTGCAAGGTTATGTAATAGGAACAGCTAACATGTAGCCTTTGATCAAATGTATTTATTTAATTTATTACTTGTATTTATTCAGGCCTAATTGAGACTAGGGTCTCATTCACAATGGTGCCCTGAGTACAAACATTTTCACAATCAATAACATTTATATTACAAATTAAAACAATAATATATATTTTTTTTAAACAAGGCACAATTACAATAATACAATTGCAATAGTAACATGCAACTACGTCAACGATTTTAATTTACTCATGCTTAAACTTAAACTGAAACATGAACTTTTTTCTAAAGTTAGTATGGACCCAACTGGTTCTGTGTGTTTGGGTTCCAAAGGGAGGGGATATTACTGGAAACTTGTTAAAAGAGCAGGATCACAGAGGTTTTTAGTGTCACTTATTTCTCAAATCCAAGACATTAGTCAAATTAACTGGGCCCTGCGTGCCTGGTCGGTATCTGGCCGTGATAGGCCCCTGCCCTGCGTGCCTGGTCGGTATCTGGCCATGATAGGCCCCTGCCCTGCGTGCCTGGTCGGTATCTGGCCATGATAGGCCCCTGCCCTTCGTGCCTGGTCGGTATCTGGCCATGATAGGCCCCTGCCCTGCGTGCCTGGTCGGTATCTGGCCATGATTACTACACGTTTAGATAGGCCCCTGCCCTGCGTGCCTGGTCGGTATCTGGCCATGATAGGCCCCTGCCCTGCGTGCCTGGTCGGTATCTGGCCATGATAGGCCCCTGCCCTGCGTGCCTGGTCGGTATCTGGCCATGATAGGCCCCTGCCCTGCGTGCCTGGTCGGTATCTGGCCATGATTACTACACGTTTAGATAGGCCCCTGCCCTGCGTGCCTGGTCGGTATCTGGCCATGATAGGCCCCTGCCCTGCATGCCTGGTCGGTATCTGGCCATGATAGGCCCCTGCCCTGCGTGCCTGGTCGGTATCTGGCCATGATAGGCCCCTGCCCTGCGTGCCTGGTCGGTATCTGGCCATGATAGGCCCCTGCCCTGCGTGCCTGGTCGGTATCTGGCCATGATAGGCCCCTGCCCTGCGTGCCTGGTCGGTATCTGGCCATGATTAATACACGTTTAGATAGCTGGCTAGACTAACTTACCAATCTAAAAATGGTTAGCTGACATGGCTAATTGAGTGACTGTCAGTGACTGACATAACAAGAGAAAAGCTGCTGTTGAACAACCACATTTCTAAATTGCACCTTGTGTATTCTCCTATTCTAACTGTCAACAGTAAGTTGAGACCCCGACTGAATTCCTAAAATATATATACACTGAGTGTACAAAACATTACAAAACACCTTCCTAATATTGAGTTGCACCCCCTTTTGCCCTCAGAACAGCCTCAATTCGTCGGGGCATCGACTCTACAAGGTGTCGAAAGCAGTTTTGATGGCCATTGTTAAAAGAGCAGAATCACTGCCCATGTTGACGCCGCAGTTGTGTCAAGTTGGCTGGTTGTCCTTTGAGTGGGGGACCATTCTTGATACACACAGGAAAACTGTTGAGTGTGAAAAACCCAGCAGCGATGCAGTTCTTGACAAACTCAAACCGGTGCGCCTGGCACCTACTACCATACCCCGGTTAAAGGCACCTTTTGTCTTGCCCATTCATCTTGATTCACCTGGTCAGTCTATATCATGGAAAGAGCAGGTGTTCCTAATGTTTTGTCCACTAGTCACACTACATGATCCTTGGTTGGCTGAGTGTCAGTGGAAAGTTTTTTTGGGACATTCAAGTAATAATATTCAATAGCTAGCAACAAGATAACCCAATGTTTAGACTTCACGTAATAATATTCAATAGCTAGCAACAAGATAACCCAATGTTTAGACTTCACGTAATAATATTCAATAGCTAGCAACAAGATAACCCAATGTTTAGACTTCACGTAATAATATTCAATAGCTAGCAACAAGATAACCCAATGTTTAGACTTCAAGTTTGTGACCCAATGCAGATGGTTTATCAAAGTTACTGGATTCATTCGGTCATTTTGGTCATTAACAGTTAATCTATTGCAATCTATAGTAACTTTGGTCAATTATACTTGAATAGATAGTATTACTTTTTAAAATATGTGTTAATTTTTCTAGTAGATAGACCATATGGTTCAAGAGAAAATAGCCTAATTAACGAAAAAAGCATCTAATCAATCAATTATTTTCAATTACCTCTGCAACTCCTCCAAGTATTTACTTTTTTCACAACTGCCACCAGATTGGCACCAAAACATTTACAACAAACACATATTGATATAGTATTTGTTTTCATATTAAACACGTGGTATTCACTAGGTTGATGGTTTATATTTAGGATAATGTTTTACAGCTTCGTCATTCAATTGTTTATTTCAAAATCATCTTATTTGATGATTTTATATTGAAGGCCACACAGAGTAATTAAGAGGGCCAGAGTAATTACAGATTCCTGTGATAATCTGAAGTACTCAAAAGGGACACTAGATGTCTTGATAAATTACATAAAATACTTCAACGTTACCAAAATTCTGGTAGTTTACTGGTAAACTGAGAAAGTTTCAAGACTGCTTTCAAAGATGTGTTTTACCACCACTGCTCTCATTTGGATCATAGGTGCAGGGTCTCGGACCCGGCGGGGGCCAGCCCAATTTAACCCCTGCTTCTTCTTCTTCTCTCTCTCTCTCCTCCCTCCTCTCCCCCAGGAAGCTCCACTGTACCAGGAACTATATCCATTTGAACCTCTTCATTTCCTTCATGCTGAGAGCTATCTCTGTCTTCATCAAGGACGGGGTCCTCTATGCTCAGGAGGATGCAAACCACTGCTTCATACACACCGTGAGTTACACATACACACCAACGCACAGACACACGCACATTTCAACCATGTGATGACGGTTCATTATGCAGTAAGCGTGTGATGTGGCGGCAGGTAGCTTAGTGGTGAGCGTTGTGCCAGTAACCGAAAGGTCGCTGGTTCTAATCCTCGAGCCGACTAGGTGAAAAATCTGTCGATGTGCCCTTGAGCAAGGCACCATGTCTTAAAGTAATGATGGACTGTCGTTTCTCTTTGCTTATTTGAGCTGTTCTTGTCATAATATGGACTTGGTCTTTTACCAAATAGGGCTATCTTCTGTATACCCCCCTACCTTGTCACAACACAATTGATTGGCTCAAACGCAGTAAGAAGGAAAGAAATTCCACAAATTAACTTTTAAGAAGGCACACCTGTTAATTGAAATGCGTTCTAGGTGACTACCTCATGAAGCTGGTTGAGAGAATGCCAAGAGTGTGCAAAGATGTCATCAAGGCAAAGGGTGGCTACTTTGAAGAATCTCAAATATAGAATGTATTTTGATTTGTTTAACACTTTTTTGGTTACTACATGATTCCATATGTGTTATTTCATAGTTTTGATGTCTTCACTATTATTCTACAATGTAGAAAATAGTAAAAATAAAGAACAACCCTTGAATGAGGAGGTGTGTCCAAACTTTTGACTGGTACTGTATGTGTCCACTAGTGGGTAAGCAGTGATGGTTTACTGTATGTCCTAGGGTTAGCGGATGGTGTTTGTACTGTATGTGTCCACTAGGTGGTGTAAAAGGTGAGGTGTTGTACTGTATGTGTCCACTAGGTGGATGTGTAAAGCAGTGATGGTGTTTACTGTATGTGTCCACTAGGTGGAGTGTAAAGCAGTGATGGTGTTGTACTGTATGTGTCCACTAGGTGAGTGTAAAGCAGTGATGGTGTTTACTGTATGTGTCCACTAGGTGGAGTGTAAAGCAGTGATGGTGTTATACTGTATGTGTCCACTAGGTGGAGTGTAAAGCAGTGATGGTGTTGTACTGTATGTGTCCACTAGGTGGAGTGTAAAGCAGTGATGGTGTTATACTGTATGTGTCCACTAGGTGGAGTGTAAAGCAGTGATGGTGTTGTACTGTATGTGTCCACTAGGTGGAGTGTAAAGCAGTGATGGTGTTATACTGTATGTGTCCACTAGGTGGAGTGTAAAGCAGTGATGGTGTTACTGTATGTGTCCACTAGGTGGAAGTGGGTGTTAAGAGTGCACGTGAGTGATGCGTGTGGTGTACTGTATGTGTCCACTAGGTGGAGTGTAAAGCAGTGATGGTGTTATACTGTATGTGTCCACTAGGTGGAGTGTAAAGCAGTGATGGTGTTATACTGTATGTGTCCACTAGGTGGAGTGTAAAGCAGTGATGGTGTTATACTGTATGTGTCCACTAGGTGGAAGTGTAAAGCAGTGATGGGTTATACTGTATGTGTCCACTAGGTGGAGTGTAAAGCAGTGATGGTGTTATACTGTATGTGTCCACTAGGTGGAGTGTAAGCAGTGATGGTTTATACTGTATGTGTCCACTAGGTGGAGTGTAAAGCAGTGATGGGTTATACTGTATGTGTCCACTAGGTGGAGTGTAAAGCAGTGATGGCGTTATACTGTATGTGTCCACTAGGTGGAAGTAGTGTAAAGCAAGTGAACGTGATGGGTTATACTGTATGTGTCCACTAGGTGGATAAAGCAGATGGTAATACGTAGTGTCCTAGGTGAGTGTAAAGCAGTGATGGTGTAAACTGTATGTGTCCACTAGGTGGAGTGTAAAGCAGTGATGGCGTTGTACTGTATGTGTCCACTAGGTGGAGTGTAAAGCAGTGATGGCGTTGTACTGTATGTGTCCACTAGGTGGAGTGTAAAGCAGTGATGGCGTTGTACTGTATGTGTCCACTAGGTGGAGTGTAAAGCAGTGATGGCGTTGTACTGTATGTGTCCACTAGGTGGAGTGTAAAGCAGTGATGGCGTTGTACTGTATGTGTCCACTAGGTGGAGTGTAAAGCAGTGATGGCGTTGTACTGTATGTGTCCACTAGGTGGAGTGTAAAGCAGTGATGGCGTTGTACTGTATGTGTCCACTAGGTGGAGTGTAAAGCAGTGATGGCGTTGTACTGTATGTGTCCACTAGGTGGAGTGTAAAGCAGTGATGGCGTTGTACTGTATGTGTCCACTAGGTGGAGTGTAAAGCAGTGATGGCGTTGTACTGTATGTGTCCACTAGGTGGAGTGTAAAGCAGTGATGGCGTTGTACTGTATGTGTCCACTAGGTGGAGTGTAAAGCAGTGATGGCGTTGTACTGTATGTGTCCACTAGGTGGAGTGTAAAGCAGTGATGGCGTTGTACTGTATGTGTCCACTAGGTGGAGTGTTAAAGCAGTGATGGCGTTGTACTGTATGTGTCCACTAGGTGGAGTGTTAAAGCAGTGATGGCGTTGTACTGTATGTGTCCACTAGGTGGAGTGTAAAGCAGTGATGGCGTTGTACTGTATGTGTCCACTAGGTGGAGTGTAAAGCAGTGATGGCGTTGTACTGTATGTGTCCACTAGGTGGAGTTGTAAAGCAGTGATGGCGTTGTACTGTATGTGTCCAACTAGGTGGAGTGTAAAGCAGTGATGGCGTTGTACTGTATGTGTCCACTAGGTGGAGTGTAAAGCAGTGATGGCGTTGTACTGTATGTGTCCACTAGGTGGAGTGTAAAGCAGTGATGGCGTTGTACTGTATGTGTCCACTAGGTGGAGTGTAAAGCAGTGATGGCGTTGTACTGTATGTGTCCACTAGGTGGAGTGTAAAGCAGTGATGGTGTTGTACTGTATGTGTCCACTAGGTGGAGTGTAAAGCAGTGATGGCGTTGTACTGTATGTGTCCACTAGGTGCAGTGTAAAGCAGTGATGGCGTTGTACTGTATGTGTCCACTAGGTGGAGTGTAAAGCAGTGATGGTGTTGTACTGTATGTGTCCACTAGGTGGTGTGTAAAGCAGTGATGGTATTATTCCACTACTGTGTGATGTCCAACTACTTCTGGCTGTTCATCGAAGGCTTGTACCTCTTCACCCTGCTGGTCCAAACCTTCTTCCCAGAGAGACGATACTTCTACTGGTACACCGTGGTAGGATGGGGTGAGTAGAATAGACTGCTACCAACTGGGTTGGATGTCTGCTAGCCCACAGCTACGTTTTTTAAAAGATTGGCTCTTGCAGCTTTTAGTTCCTGGTTGTCTTTGTTCCTGGTCCATTATTACCGGGTGGCAGGCAGCCTAGCGGTTAAGAGCGTTGGGCCGGCAACCGAAAGGTCGCTGGTTCGAACCCCCAACCCAACTATTTGAGAAATCTGTCGATGTGCCCTTGAGCAAGGCACTTAACCCTAATTGCTCCTGTAAGTGGCTCTGGATAAGAGCTTCTACTAAATGACTAACATGTCATAATAACAATGTCACAGTCCTTATCTGCTGGTTCAACCCTTATCTACTGGTTCAACCCTTATCTGCTGGTTCAACCCTTATCTGCTGGTTCAAACCTTATCTACTGGTTCAACCCTTTGCTCTTGTAAGTCTTATCAATGTAATGTGTTCAGGTTTCAGATCAGATTCCTCCTCTGTCCTCTCTGTCTTCAGCTTTCAGATCAGATTCCTCATGTCCTCTCTGTCTTCAGGTTTCAGATCAGATTCCTCATGTCTTCAGGTTTCAGATCAGATTCCTCTGTCCTCTCTGTCTTCAGGTTTCAGATCAGATTCCTCATGTCCTCTCTGTCTTCAGGTTTCAGATCAGATTCATCATGTCCTCTCTGTCTTCAGGTTTCAGATCAGATTCCTCACGTCCTCTCTGTCTTCAGGTTTCAGATCAGATTCCTCATGTCCTCTCTGTCTTCAGGTTTCAGATCAGATTCCTCATGTCTTCAGGTTTCAGATCAGATTCCTCACGTCCTCTCTGTCTTCAGGTTTCAGATCAGATTTCTCATGTCCTCTCTGTCTTCAGGTTTCAGATCAGATTCCTCATGTCCTCTCTGTCTTCAGGTTTCAGATCAGATTCCTCATCTGTTCTCTCTGTCTTCAGGTTTCAGATCAGATTCCTCATGTCCTCTCTGTCTTCAGGTTTCAGATCAGATTCCTCATGTCCTCTCTGTCTTCAGGTTTCAGATCAGATTCCTCATGTCTTCAGTTTTCAGATCAGATTCCTCATGTTCTCTCTGTCTTCAGGTTTCAGATCAGATGTGTTCTCTCTGTCTGTCTGTGTGTTTAGGTACTCCCACCATCTGTTCTCTCTGTCTTCAGGTTTCAGATCAGATGTGTTCTCTCTGTCTGTCTGTGTGTTTAGGTCCTCCCACCATCTGTTCTGTCTGTCTTCAGGTTTCAGATCAGATTCCTCATGTTCTCTCTGTCTTCAGGTTTCAGATCAGATGTGTTCTCTCTGTCTGTCTGTGTGTTTAGGTACTCCCACCATCTGTTCTCTCTGTCTTCAGGTTTCAGATCAGATGTGTTCTCTCTGTCTGTCTGTGTGTTTAGGTACTCCCACCATCTGTTCTCTCTGTCTTCAGGTTTCAGATCAGATGTGTTCTCTCTGTCTGTCTGTGTGTTTAGGTACTCCCACCATCTGTTCTCTCTGTCTTCAGGTTTCAGATCAGATGTGTTCTCTCTGTCTGTCTGTGTGTTTAGGTCCTCCCACCATCTGTTCTCTCTGTCTTCAGGTTTCAGATCAGATTCCTCATGTTCTCTCTGTCTTCAGGTTTCAGATCAGATGTGTTCTCTCTGTCTGTCTGTGTGTTTAGGTCTCCCACATCTGTTCTCTCTGTCTTCAGGTTTCAGATCAGATTCCTCATGTTCTCTCTGTCTTCAGGTTTCAGATCAGATGTGTTCTTCCTCTGTCTGTCTGTGTGTTAGGTATCCACATCTGTTCTCTCTGTCTTCAGGTTTCAGATCAGATGGTTCTCTCTGTCTGTCTGGTGTTTAGGTACTCCCACCATTGTTCTCTCTGTCTTCAGGTTTCAGATCAGATGTGTTCTCTCTGTCTGTTCTGTGTGTTTAGGTACTCCCACCATCTGTTTCTCTCTGTCTTCAGGTTTCAGATCAGATGTGTTCTCTCTGTCTGTCTGTGTGTTTAGGTACTCCCACCATCTGTTCTCTCTGTCTTCAGGTTTCCGATCAGATGTGTTCTCTCTGTCTGTCTGTGTGTTTAGGTACTCCCACCATCTGTTCTCTCTAGTCTTCAGGTTTCAGATCAAGAGTGTCGTTCATCTTGTCCCTTCAGGTTCAGATCATCTGTTCTCTCTGTCTGTCTGTGTGTTTAGGTACTCCCACCATCTGTGTGACTGTCTGGGCTGCTCTGAGGCTTCACTTTGACGACACAAGGTACGTCCAAACCACGGTTACATCTTTACATTACTCAATATTTACAACAGACATAAGAACTGCACATCCACTGTCAGTTTATACCTCCATGAGGTGTTCAGGAGAAACTTGTGACCTTGTGTCTTTGAATAAATAAATAAAGTCTGCACATGACATATGCTGCTCCCAAGCCTTTTAATGTAATTAATTTTGCCTGTACCAGGTGAAGGTTATATCAAACCACAGTATTTATATATATATATACATATATATATATATATATATATATATATATATATATATATATATATTTGTATGTATGTATGTATATATATATGTATATGTATTTATTAATGTTGCTGGGCCACCACTGATGTGATGTCATAGTTTAGATCCTTATAATATGCATAAAAATATCTGCATTCAAAATGGCACCCCTATTCCCTATATAGTGCACGATTCCCTATGGGCCCTGGTCATACACAATACACTATAAAGGGCATAGTGTGCCTTTTGTGACAATCACAATATCACTCTCACCCTCTGCTGTGTCTGTCTCTTGTCCTGTAGTTGCTGGGATACCAACGACACCACTGCCCTCTGGTGGGTGATCAAGGGACCTACGGTCGTCTCCATCATGGTGGGTGGAACAGGCTTTATCAGGGCTGGCCCAAACGGTACCCTATTCCCTAGATCAGTGGGGAGGCTATATACAGGGGGTACCGGTACCGAGTCAAGGGGTCGGGGGGGGGGGGGGGGGGGAGTTTAAGGAACTCAGCCAGGCTTTCAACTTAGTCTTGAAAGTTGTAATAATAGCATACACAAGGTGAAATGTTGGTTTTCCTCTTTTCCTCATGTCAGACCTCAGAGAGCTGTTATATATCTTTGCCTACGACCCAACGGTAGTAGGCCTGATCACCGACAACGATGAGACAGCCTATAGGGAGGAGGTCCGAGACCTGGCCGTGTGGTGCCAGGATAACAACCTCTCCCTCAACGATGAGACAGCCTATAGGGAGGAGGTCAGAGACCTGGCAGTGTGGTGCCAGGACAACAACCTCTCCCTCAACATGATCAAGACAAAGGGGAGATGATCGTGGACTACAGGAAAAGGAGGGCCGAACACGCCCCCATTCTCATCGACGGGGCTGTAGTGGAGCGGGTCGAGAATTTAAAGTTCCTTGGTGTCCACATCACCAACAAACTATCATGGTCCAAACACACCAAGAAAGTCGTGAAGAGGGCACGACAATGCCTATTCCCCCTCAGGAGACTGAAAAGATTTGGCATGGGTCCCCAGATCCTCAAAAGGTTCTACAGCTGCACCATCGAGAGCATCCTGACTGGTTGCATCACCGCCTGGTATGGCAACTGCTCGGCCTCCGACCGCAAGGCACTACAGAGGGTAGTGCTTATGGCCCAGTACATCACTGGGGCCAAGCTTCCTGCCATCCAGGACCTCTATACCAGGCGGTGTCAGAGGAAGGCCCTAAAAATTTCCAAAGACTCTAGCAACCCTAGTCGTAGATTGTTCTCTCTGCTACCGCACGGCAAGTGGTACCGGAGCACCAAGTCTAGGTCCAAAAGGCTCCTTAACAGCTTCTACCCCCAAGCCATAAGACTCCTGAACAGCTAATCATGGCTACCCGGACTACTTAACAGCTTCTATCCCCAAGCCATAAAACTGCAGAACAGCTAATCATGGCTACCCGGACTATTTGCAGTCACTTTACTCCTACCTACATATTTCCTCAATTACCTCAACTAACCTGTACCCCCGTACATTGACTCGGTGCCGGTACCCCCTGTATATAGCCTGTATATAGCCTCTGTACCGGTACCCCCTGTATATAGCCTCCCTACTGTTATTTCACATTGACTCTGTACTGGTACCCCCTGTATATAGCCTCCCTACTGTTATTTCACATTGACTCTGTACTGGTACCCCCTGTATATAGCCTCCCTACTGTTATTTCCCATTGACTCGGTACCGGTACCCCCTGTATATAGCCTCCCTACTGTTATTTCCCATTGACTCTGTACCGGTACCCCCTGTATATAGCCTCCCTACTGTTATTTCCCATTGACTCTGTACCGGTACCCCCTGTATATAGCCTCCCTACTGTTATTTTATTGTTGCTCTTTAATTTTTTTACTTTAGTTTATTTAGTAAATATTTTCTTAACTCCATTTCTTGAACTGCATTGTTGGTTAAGGGCTTGTAAGTAAGCATTTCACGGTAAGGTGTTGTATTCGAAGCATGTGACAGATGAAATTTGATTTGATTTGAAAAGTAGGGCACTATATAGGGAATAGGGTACCATTCTCTGGTCTAAAGTAGTGCACTATATAGGGAATAGGGTGCCATTCTCTGGTCTAAAGTAGTGCACTATATAGGGAATAGGGTGCCATTCTCTGGTCTAAAGTAGTGCACTATATAGGGAATTTGTGCCATTCTCTGGTCTAAAGCAGTGCACTATATGTTACGCTATGGTTAAACCCAGCACTCCGAGAAACAAAACACGACTAAGGGAGTGGAAGAAACAAAAATTATTTTAATAAAAGTTCAATTTGTCTAGTCCAAAAACAACTGAAGAAAAGGAACAGAGTGGGCTAGTCGGCTCTGGAGGAAGGAGAGGCTGAGGCAGGCAGGCAGGCAGGCAGGCAGGCAGGCAGGCAGGTTGGGAGGTATGTCTGAACTGAAGACAAAACAAACGACAGGTTAAGGAGAGTAAAAAGCCAGGCTGAAGACAAAGACAATTCAACTCTACTGGTGAGCCAAGTTACCGCTCTAGTAAGAACAA